TTCTTACTGGAAAAAATGATTCCTTTAATTTCGTCCTCCGTAATAGGAGCAATGAGAGTGGATAGCAGATGATTAGGAATAACTTTCCCAATAGGAAAACTATGAGGGCTGGAAGTGGAGTTGGGGGGGTTAAAAAGCTTAGTGACGTGATTTATGAAAGCCAAGGAGATATTTTGATGATCAGTAAAGCTACCCATATCAGTAGTGATCTCTTTGATATTGCTATAATTTATGTTGGCATTGATTTTAGAATATAAAAATTTAAGATCATCTTCACCTTGCGTAAGCCAATTCACCTTGCCACGCTGCACAATCCAATCAGATAAAGTGGTTTGATAATAATGCAGTTTGGTATTGATGCTCTTAAGAGTGTTGTTGAGGGATTCATCAAGAGGGTTGTTTTGAATAAGTCCCAACACATTTGCTTGCTGCGCAGACAGCAAATCTTTATCTTTCGGAATATTGTTGGAATTGGACCAATTCTTATGCTTGATTTTGAGTTTTAAGCATTTCAACTTAAAAGCAAAATACGCCAGAGGGCTGTTATTAGCCGGCTGAGAGAAAGTATCCAGTAAATAGTCCCAAAATTCAGGAATTCTGGTGCAGTAATTCTTGAATAAAAATCTATGACCCCTTTTAGATTCCATGGCATTCATAAGAAGCAAAGGGGAGTGATCAGAGCAGCTAGGTTCACCAACAAAGTAATAGGAATTTGGAAAAGTAGTAAGCAAAAGATCATTGACTAACACTCTATCAAGTATTATATGAATAGGATTATTACTTTGCTGGTTAAACCAAGTAAAAAAAATGACCTATAGAAGCAAGGTCATGCACACCAGTATTAAAAATCATGTTATTGAAGTCTCCCAGATTGCTGCTGGATAAAGGAGAACCTCCAGCTTTTTCATTAGAGTAGCGGCAACAATTAAAATCTCCAATAATGGCCCAAGGAGTGCAAATGGATTGAGAAATAACTTGTAGATCAGACCAAAGAGTACGCCTTTCAGAATGAGAATTACTAGCATAAACAGCAGTAATAGCAACTGAATTAATCGAGTCAATCTGAATGATACCATGAACCAGTTGGCTAGTAGTAATTTGAGGCATAAAATTAATAGTTCCAGCATTCCACTTAACCCAAATACGACCAGGATTAGAGTGTTGAAAATTGTCACAAGAATTCTCAATAGGAAAATTCTATGCTGACATTGAAACCAATGATTGGAAAGGTTGTTAATATTGGTTTTTGCTTCCAGGATGAAAAGAAGGTCAATGTTGTGGTTTTTGACAAAAATTTTACAGTTGCTCACCTTAGAAGGGTTATTAAAACCTCTAAGGTTCCAGGCCGCAAGCTTGGAAGGCTTTACTGTCATTTGGAAGTGGAGGTTTTTTTGGCATTTTTGCCACGGGTTTGTTTTTGGTTTTGTTGGGTTGATTGCTGAGTTTTTTGTGGAGTTGGAGCTAGAAGATGGTTGGTCTGTATTGGAGTTGGTGTTGAATTTGGGAATTTGAGGTTGGTGACTCCTAGGGGGGGTACTAACATTATGAACCGGCTGTTCTTTGGTGGAAGTAGTTTTATGAGACTCACTGGAAATAAGATCAGCAGGGTCATTATCAGCCAAAACATCAAATTTGTTTTTAGCCGTAGAAGTAGGAGGGTTATGTAAATTAGTGATAACAGGTTCAGAGAAAGTAATAGGATCTTTCGAATGAGAATTTAGGTTAGGTATGACAGTTCCAGATGGTAAGATTTGAAGAGGAGGGGTGATTTGGGTAGCAGGGAGGGAGTCAACTTTGGTGTGTGAAGGAGGCTTAGGAATAAGGAGTCTTGGAGGCGGTGTGATTCTGGGTCTTCTGCTGGTGCTTCTTCCCCTGGGTTTAGGAGCAAAAGCAGGTCTGATAACAAGATCTTTGGGGCAAAGGGTGGGAGGGTGCATAATGGAACCACATTGAGTGCAATGGTCCGGCTTCCAATCATACTGAACACGAAGGGGAAAAGATTTTTCATCAACCGAGTAAAAAATTTCCTCAGGAAGAGTGGAAGAACTGGTAACTTGGATGCAGATGCGCGCGAAGGTGAGTCTGGTTTTAGCGGCTGTAAGAGCATCAACAACAAGTGGTATACCAATACAACTAGCAAGTTTTGAAATACCTTCTGGCGTCCAGAGAGAGAGAGGCAGGTTTCAGATTTTGATCCATAGAGGGATTGATGGAAATTCTTCACGCTTCGGGACGAATTCAGGTGTCCATTTCTGCAAGATGAAAGGTTTTCCAAAGAAAAACCAAGGGCCTCCACTCCATGCAAGCTCGTAATCCTCTAAAGCAAAGAACTTTAGAAGGAAAAAACCATCATCCATCGTGAGCAGAGAGAAATCTCCCTTGAGCTTCCAGGTCTTTTTGATGGTAGACAAAAGGGCTTCATAGAACGGTCTTTTACCGATTGAGTAACCAACTAAGGAGAGAGACCATTCCGCAGCTCCCGCCACAAACTTCTCGGAAGAGATATGAGAAGTGAAGTTTTTTGCGGGAACAAAGGATAAGGAGTGTGAGAAGGTTGTAGAGACTTGTGGGGTAAAAGCTAAAAGATTTTTCCAGTCAAGCAGAGAAGAGGATGGAGGAGGAGGAGAGGAGGTGGTGGCGGTGGAGCCAAGAGGGGGAAAATCGGCCATGGGGTGACCCCCAGACGGCGGCGGGAAGAGCTCCAAAACTAGGGCGCCAAAAAACCCTAGCAGAGCAAAAAGCACACTCTTTTTTCCTTCATAGTTTATCTCACCAATACTTTCATAATATCTTAACCTTTTTTCTTTTTTTAACGAGGCTTCAAGTGAATCAAAGGAAAAAATATATAACATAAAGGTTGAAAAAAGTCCAAATTAGACGCTCTGTTAGGGTTTCCGTAACCCTCTTCGAGGCGTGGTCTCCACTGATGGTGTCGGTGGTTCTCCCAGGGTAGCTCTCTTTCCATTTCGTTCTCTTCGTGTGGTTTTGTAGTTCTTGCGGATCTCTTGTCGATTCGTCCACCTCTATTTGGAAGAAAGGCAGTGAATTGACTGGCCAACCCCAGCTTTTTGGATGGCTCATCCAAATCCTGCTACTTTCTTGATGCTTTATATGGTTCGGCTACCTCTGCGACTTTTCCCGATCTAAAATCTAGATCACCAAGTTCTACCTGTGTAAAGCAACAAACAATTATATTCAAAAGCTGCTACAACACGCCACCGCCGCAACACTTATATTAGCGGACATAAGGCGTATTTATATAAGTTCTCAAATGAAATGTTGTGTGTATTCAAATGATAGTTACTTGCACAACTAAAATATCTGAAAAATGTGCCCGCACATATACCGTAGTTTGTATACACATAGGTACACTAAAAGGTAAGTTAAACATTTTTGTGAATTTAAACCCTCGATTCTACACTTTGCTTGTCTAAATTTATCTCAGTTGCTGAAGGGGAGGATTTTTTTTTTTTTGGTTCATTTCATGAGAATTTTCCAATCATATATTCTTAGAAGTTTTTTTGGATTTGATGAATTTGGCATTTTCTTGCATGTATCTATTGAAGAATATATGAAGATTGGACATAATATGGTTGAATATTCTTTGTAAAACATAGAACAATTACATGTACTAAGTAGTATACATAGAACGATTGATTTTGGCTATTCTATTAGCTTTGATTTAGCTTTTTTTTTAAAGAAAGCATATGGAATTGCAGGAGAACTGAACCTCGGTTAGAAGAGAGGTCCAGTTGACTTCTCAAAGAGTAAATCTGTTAAAGGTCCTCTCCACCTACGTTTCGTTATTTAGTTAATTATGCTATAAAGTATTAGCTAGGCTTTGTAAGCGATGGAATGTCCTATATTGAAAAAGTCTCAAGTCAATGGTTGCATGCATGTAGGCTCGATCGGCATTCTGACTTCAGATTATTTAATAATAATTTGTTTGTCAGAGATGATATGGAACAACTTTGCACTGATTGGTAGTTCATATAATCTATATGGAAATGGAGGTTCGGATTTGAATAGCTGCAGTGATAGCTTCTACTTTGGGTATTTTAAATGCTGCTCGATCATATAATTTTCTATGGTTAGAACCTGAATTCTTCTACACGTATTCAACTTAGAAAAAAATAAGCATCTAAGATAATCATGTGTTAGAACCTGGTGATTCCATCATAATCTAGACTACAAAAAGCAAACGAAAATTGAAATAAAAAATTTTATATATTTTGAGTATTGAAAAATTCATTTTTCTTTTTGAACATTTATTTCTAAATAACAATGAAAAGTTCTTCAAAATAAACAATTTGGATGGTAATCTAACCGATAGTGACAACATGATTTCACTATCTTAATTTCTACAATCAAAGCATTACAAGAAATGATTTTTACACTAACTAGAACCTTAAGAGCTTGTTTTTCTAAACTAGGTTTGATGTGATAAAATCTTGAACACGTCTTAGCACTGTTAATTATCTTTCCTGAATTCAAGTCCTAAAATTCACAAAATTAAGTAAGTTTTCTTGTACAGATTGCTTATTTGTTCCTGTTTGTTGTTCGTTGAAGTCCGTCTATTACAGTGAGCACTACTAAAAAATCTTGCTTCTGCAGCACTTTTTATGACATATTGCAGCGCTTTAAACACCTACTAATTTATTTCCAGCGGTTTAAAAGCCACTGCACATCCGTTGTATTTGCTTTCGCTACAAAGGTTTTAGCAGCGGTTTCACAAATGCTGCTATAGGAAGGTTTTAGCAGCGCTTTTTAACAGGGGTTAAAACCGCTGTAAAAAGGTAGCACTGATTAAAAAAAATATATTATGCCAAAAAATTAAATTTTTTGATCAAATTATAAATACACATAAAATTAATCCAAGCATATAACCATTCCATCGTTTCCAAAATTCACAACAAAGTTCCTTAATTTGAATCTCCTACCAAGAAAGCATGGAAAAAGTATATCCTTATGCATAAGAACTTACATAATATCCACAAATCTTATTCGTACAATTGAATAATATCCACAATTCTAACGCCTCTGTAATAGAAGGCAGTAGGTACAATCTTTGAGTAGAAGTAGTCTTCTGCACCCATCATTGGAGGAACATCCTTATAGTTCTTCAGACCCAGCAAGCTAACGGCCACATTCTTCACATGCTCGTACATTATATCGATCGTCATTGAAAGTGGGAGGGTAGAATCATTAATTCTCAAAGAAGTATACTGAAGTAGAGCATTTATATACACTATACTGCATTACAATGACCTGCAAGTCAAAGTTAGATGACAGTAAGTGAGTGGCTATAAGAAACTAAAATTTCGTTTTGGACGGCTTTCTTACTGCTTCTTAAAGCAACTGTTTTTGTAAAAAATTTAATTTTTTCACTAAAAAACTATTTGCAACTAGAATAAGATGCTCTTTAAGTACTCCTTTCGCAACCATCTTAATTGACGCCGATAGGCGCTGAGAAACCAACATTACAAGATATGGATGAAATCTAGATGTTAAATATTTGCATACAACTTAGTGATGAACATTGTATAATCAGCGCTCATCTATATCAAAAAGCTTAATGTGAATGAGTCAATGAAAACATAATGGTGAGAACTCCTGAACCAATTCATGAACTATAAGGAGATAGGCACATCAAAGTTTCTGATTAAATTTAATTTACGAACAAAAGTTGTAAACAATAGAGGAATCCAATAACATTTATAAAAAGCACTAAAAACACAAACATGAGAATGCAAGAATGAAACTCACCTGAACCGATTGCTCAAAACTACAAGATATATATGCCGAGAAGGTGTTCAACCTGCTTGATGCAATAGGGTATAGATTGCCTCGTATCTATGAGGAGCATAACAGGTAAGCAAGCATCCAAAACAGTTCTCCATGCATCACCACTTTGCCGAGCAAAACTTCTTTCAATAACAACTTCAATGGCTAATTCGCCCTTCATTGGTCTCCGATCTCTCACAGAAGAAGTGGTCGTTGGTTTAATCCAATTGATATTTGCCAAATCAACTCTAGAATCACCTAGGGTATCATTAAAGAAACATATACAATGTAAGACTACTCAAATATTCAAAAACTTTAAAAAAGAAAAAAAATGGTACACTTAAATAGAAAACATCATGAAATTTAGTAAAAATTTATTTAGGCTAGATTTGTAAGGTTACACAGAAACAAACTACTCTTAAATGAAAAAAAGAGTTATCTTTAACATCCATAACAGCAATGAAGCCAACATGAAAATTGAGGGCTTATAAGAAAATTTTTGTGGCCATGCATGCCGACCCTAACCTGATATGTCCATGAAAATTGAAGCTTGAACATAATAAATGTTCAATATTTAATTAATTTTAACTCAAACTAATTTACACAGAGTTGAGGATTGCGAACTTAAAATAGCATGAATCAAGCCAAAATCATATAATATATAAATTAGGTTGTCAATAGTTTTATCTATTTAGAAAATGAAAAGCTTTAAAAATATGTAATTGATAGTACAGGAATAACCAGCACATGATCTATAATGCAAGCAAATTAATCATTCCCTACTTTGTTATGCTGCAAACGCAATTAAAATTTGTCACAACTCTAGGTAAAATTTGTATATAATATTTAGATCAACTTAACATACAGTATGTTAGAAATTGCAAACAATTACCTTCGAGAGTTGGTACAAAATTCACAAAGATAGGAAGATTAACACAAAATATATTTTCTTTTAAAGACGTCTACAATACCTCAACTTCCATCGCACTGAATCCAAAACTTGAGTCTCCTTCAACAGCAACCACCAACCTGTCAGGTGAAGCTACTGCAGCAGCAATGCAGTAACCCAAGCCAACACCCATCGTTCCCCATGTCCCTGCGTCTAGCCGTGTCCTCAGCTCAGTATGTCCCAGCACAGCTCTTCCAACATCCATAGTGTTCGCACCTTCCGATACCAATATTGGAGCTGGGCTTCCTTGCGCAAGAATTGCATCCCTTATTATCCGCATGGGTGTAAGGAAGTTAAATGGAACTACGTCCTTAGCCAACTGTATTTCCATCTTCACCACATTATCCTTTGCCTTTTTGGAAATAGCAGCTACCCAAGGATTCGACTTCCCCAAGAAGAAAGGATCATCCTTGATCTCCCTGTTGATCAAGTCCAGAACTGTAGCAGCATCTCCAACTAAACCAAGATATGGCTTCCTCAACTCAATCTTCGCCACATTACTTCTAGCATGCTTTACGAGTAAAAAAAAATAACAGAGAAATTGATGAACTTTACATTTTTCAGTTGTCATGTCAGACTACATAAACATGTACACAAGTTTTAGAATCAAACTAACTTAACATTCTCATATCCACAAATGTACTTTGAGGCCTTAGACAAGATTGTTGCTATTTCAATACCAATAAAAGGACTAGCTTTTCAAGAAGCGAGCAGTAGTGATGACTATCCTCAGACATCATTTTGCATCTAAAACACATCGCCTTCACGAGTTATTTTCATATTAAAACCAATAGGATTTCCTTCGCTCAGTCACAAAAAAAAAAACAAAATTTTAACCAGGGCGGAAGTTTCTAAACTGAAGCAGACCATGATTCTAATTAGAACATTTTGGAAAATGACATCGAAACAGAGAAGAATGAATCTGTAGCGAGAAAGTAAATACCTGAACAACGGCTGGAGAACCAAAGTTGAAATGACAGAAGTTGAACATATATCACAAAAATTAATAAATGAAGCATTGTTGACAAGAATTTAGAGTAAAAATGACAAAATTTGTGCTAAGTAACAACAAATACCGTTGTACAATTGACATAAGTTTTCCAGAAAAATTTAGAGTAGAAATGATAAAAGTTTAACATGCATCACAAAAATTACTATCTATAGCCAAACAAAAAATAAAAAATCTTATAACATTTCAAAACAAACCATAAGCTATACATAATGAAAATATCGTGTCTATTTATATTATGTATTCCCTTTTTACACCTTGGATGTCAATTAGGCAAAAATTGATCATTATCTCACTGTTATTAATATAGAAGTCATCAGAAAAATTAAATATGATAAATTAATTAATAAATGAAAATACATAATTTTTTATTTTACATACCATATTTGAACTTCTTGGTGGCAAATGCTGTCCCTGGTAATTATTCATGAATTGTTTCATCTCACTTTGCAATGTTTGCACCACCTCCTCAAGTCTTACAACTCGATCAAATATAGTATTGCCTCGACTACTACTTCCTGGATCCGTGGTGCTATGAGGAAAATATCTACTTGGAATATCCCCAAAATCTTGTGTTCGTACCCTCACTGGGTGTTCTGGCCCCATGATCGCCTTGAAGACTTTTTCATTGGCTTCAAAATTTCCATCTTCTAGCGCTAACCCTTCTTCGGGAAGCATTTCAGAAGCATGTGCCTAGATTTTGAAATATATATATATATATATATATATTAGCATTCATTAAACACCTCATGTGAAATGCTGAAGGATTTTACCCATTTTTGTCTGGCCTCCTTAGATGACCATGATCCATTTTTACGCATGCGATTGATTTTCCATAATAACAGACGATCTCGTATAGACTGTAAAAACTAAATCCTTTATATAAATATAAATATATCAATAATTGAAATACATATCTTTTCTTCTTGTCTCCTTATGGAGCTCACCCGACCCATCGTATGTGGACACATTTGTTTTTTTGCATTTTACACATTTCTTGTTGCCCTCTCCTACAACAAATAATCATCATATTAATTTCAATTTTTTAAGAAAATCAATAACACGATTTAATTAGCTAACTCACTTTATCCTATGGTTGTGACTATCTACTAACAAGCTGACACCATTGTACTGGATCTACTCCTGCAGAGACAATCTCCATGATCTTCTATAATGGTCTACTATCCCAGTGCTCTGCCTTCAAATTAGTTTTGTAGTTGCGCCACTTGGCTCCAAGAGATTGTAGTATCCAATATTTTATACTTGCGGGGAACTCAAACTTGGACTAAAAAATGTTAAATGATTTTAATTATCAAACAAACATAAATTACATATGATTATTTGCTATGATATTTACCTCTACTTCAGCTAGCATCCTCTTTTCAAATGGTTCCATACCTTTTTTACACCAATCTGCGAATGAGATTGGTGCCAAAATAGGATCTCTAGCTACGATCCCTAAGTATGAACCAGGCAGAATAGACTCTGGTATATTACATGGCACCATATTCTCATTGACTTCAATGTGAATCTGTGTACCTGGTGGCATGCTCTGTATGTCTGCACAAGTAGTTAGGCCTCTCTTTTTTATCAGAGCACCCTCATCATCTAAAAAAATAAAGATGTAAGAAGCAAATATATTATTAATATTAAAATTGAAACAAATAAATAAGAGTTTTAAGTGAAGAAACACCTATGAGCAAAATTCCATCATCTATCGATGGCACCTGTCGTCTTAAATCTTGAAATGACTGATCCAGAGATTGTTCGTTGTTATTGCAGTCAGTAGCATTGGACAAATCTGGATGCATCGGAGTCGATGCGTTATTAGAAGTTCTACTAATCTGCTCTACACTGGAAGTTCCTCGACGTGTAACTTTTTTAGCACGTCAGAATGAGCCGCTTCCTGTCATTCCTATTAGTATAAAAAAATCATATGAATGATTATAACTTCATGGACAACAATAGTCACAACACATTTTATGAAATAACAAAAAAAAAATTTACTAGTTTTTAATAAACAGAATATCTTCATTGGCCTGACCTAATTTTAGCTGATATGCATAAGAAATCTTCTGAATCGCACACTTGGTGTGAGACCTCGTTCCCTTACTGTTCCTCTCGAGCTTGGATTTTCCTCCCAGGATCGTCCGGGACGATA